AAAAAAAAAAAAAAAATTGAAAAAACAACCTCCTCTCTCTAAGGCATGTAAAGAAGTGCTTGTGAAATTAGTGTTAGGTTCTTTGCCAGTCTATTTGATGTCTTGCTTCAAAATTCTCTTGTCGACTTGTAACGATTGGGCTCGGTCCTTTGCTGCTTTTTGGTGGGGTAAATTTGACTCGGGGTCTGATAAAATGCACTAGGCATCTTGGGATAAGCTTACTAGAGTTAAAGAATTAGGGGGATAGGGGTTTATAGACCTTGTTGCTTTCAATGAGGCCCAGTTGGTGTGTGCTGTGTGGAGAAGAACTTGAAGATACTGACCATCTGTTCTTTAATTATTGCAAGATAAAGATTTGCTGGAAGCTTTTGGGAGTGGAATGGAGAAACATGGCTGATTTGACTGGGGGCATTCAAACAATGGTGGGATGAAGTGTGTCGGATAACTCCAGCAAAACATCTTCAAGACAGGATCACCATTTCAGTGTACTTGTTGTGCAATATTCGGAAAGCTAGAACAGTTGCATCTTCAGAGTAGAGTTATTTCATTAACATCTGAAGCCAAGGACATCATCAATTTTACGCAGGGTTTGAGGCAGCATCCAAGATTGTCAGTGATGCTAGAACACAAACAGAAGATTTTAAGGTGGGAGTAGGACAAATATCTCTATATGTCAGTGCTTAGATTTTTTATGGGGTATAGAAACTCTGTTTGGTTGTGCCAAGAAAGACGAAAAGCTGCTGCAGGCTTCGGCTGAAGTGACAGTGGCAAGGGATTCAAAAAAGGAAGCTGCTCTGTTAGGGGTGAGACGCAGCTTAGAGGAGGCTTTCAAGGAAGGATGGTCTAGCTTGCTTTGTTGATGTTAAGGCTGTTGTTGCTATTTTGAACTGTCAGTTTTCTGTTTGTTCTTTGTTGGAGCCGATTGTTCGTGACATTTTGGTGTCTAAGACTTTGTTTTCTTCTTGTTTGTTTCGGTTTGGTCTAGTTGGTAGTTAGTAGTTTTAGCCATGTCTGGCTTGTTAGCGAGAGCATCCTAGGCTCTCTCGTGGACGACTCCCTAGTTTCTAAGAATTTGTTGTGTAACTAGTTGGTTACCTGTCTGTACATTTCAAGGTTTTATTTGATATTTGTTCCTTTGCAAAAAAAAATATAAAAGACAGTCACTCTTTTCAATATGAAGAGTAATTATTGTATAAAATGAAGATTCTCAACAACAATGTCTTCAACCTAGGTACAAAAATCTGATCAGACACAAATCCAGTAAACAATGCAACAAGTCATAACTAAACAACGACGAACCCTCCATCCACCTATTCGAATAAAAACACTGCCGTAGCATATAACGAATGAAAACCGGCAAAAAGTGACACAAACGAAACCCAAAGAAATCAAGCCATTGCTAAAGTAGAAACATAGGATGCCACGAGAAAAAGAGAAAATAGCAAAGACACCCCCAATTTCGTGGAATTTGCACCTGAGGAACCGTCGGGCACATTTTCTGATCCGGCCCCTGCACCAAACATAAAATAAAGCAGCCAGCATGAAAATCAATAACATATATAACAGCAAATTAATTCATTTAATAGCTCAAAAAAAAATAATAAAATAGTAGGTAAAATTTAATAACTCATGTGATGAAGAGTCCTCATATTCATACCTGAATTTGTGTTTGGAGAATTGGGTCTTGAAACAGGGGAGCCAGATGGAGTTGCAGCTGCTGCAACTTCAAGAATTAGTCCAAAACAAAAATAAATATTCTCTTCTCGACGCTAAATATTGGTTGAAGGCCGTAAATTTGAAGATCTTACCATTGCGGCATTGAGTGGTGGGTGGGGTTGGGACACTGCAAGCAGCAGGCAGGGCGAGAGCCTGTGTCTGGTTAATGTTGAGGCCGAGATTGGAGTTGGAGTTGAGCAGCTGGCACAGGCACTGCGGCCGGGACCCAACCACCGTGCGCAGCTGCGTGCAGCAGCCGCTTGACGGGCCGCTGCTCGAGTTGCCCGAGATGTAATCCAGGCAAGGGGACATGCTGATTAGGACGTTGGTGCAGTCGTTGGATTGGGCTTCCGCGCCGGCCCACAGAATGGTTATGACAGTAAAGGTTAAGCCCAATGAATACTGCAGTCTGCGTGCCATTGGTGATGGGAGTAAAAGGAGAAATGTGTGTGTGTGTGTGTGTGTGTGTGTGTGTGTGTGTGTG